GGAGAATATTTTGAGTTGAGTCTTCCTATCAGCTTATAGCAGTCTACCCATTTTCTTCTGACACGAGTGGTTATCACCCAGAGAAATGCTGCTATGATATTTTTAATTTTTTGGACCATAAGCAGTTTGAGTCAACTGCTGTTGTGATTTTGCACTATGTAAATACTGGAAAATCATGGAAAATCCCAGTAGATCATGCCACATTCGAAATGAAATAAATGAGTTTTCTTATTAATTCTGAGGCTCAGTTTGAACTTCAGCCAGTCATTCTGACCATGTCTATGTGCCTGAATGTTTTGAGTTGCTGTCATGTTATTAATGAGCAGGTCCATGTTTGTACCTGATAAAGTGTAGTGATTTTATGCTGCACACAGGGGACAAATAAATAGTTTTCTTTTTGTACTTTCATCTGTGATAAACTGAATGCATATGTGATACACAGAACTTCAGTAAAATGAGAAGCTGATGAGATGGGATGGGGCACGGTTTTGTGCTATATGAGGTCCATTGACCATAGTAGTATTCGCAACAGGACAAATAATGTTTTTGTATTCCTGTGAAAACTAACATATGTAACACAGCTCATAAATAAGCTATGAGAGGAGATCGTTGCTGGAGAGAAACACGACACGGGATCGAACATTCTGAAACACCTCCCATCAATGAGAGAAGTAATTTGATCATATTATAGTGTTATAGTCAGACCTATTTAGACTATGCATCTGATTTTAGTTTAGAGACAATGAAAAATTATTAAACTAGTTAAATGTAACTTTAATTTATTTGTATATTTAGTTACTATTCAGTAAAATCATACTCAGACTGTGATTTTAATGGTTTCTGTATTGTAACATGTTCATGTTGTTCTTTTTCTTCAGTGGCTCCTGATCTCACACTTGTACTAATTGGTGATCCAGATTCCATGAGATCGGACCAAAAACATTTTCTCTTGACCATGACGAGCCAAACAAATGTGGAACCAGTTTTCACTCCAACTCTTATAATTCTGTGTGGTCACATCTGTGTCATTAACATGCTCGGTCTACAAACAAAGAAATCCCTTTAAATCAGGGAGTTCATGCCTTTGTCTTTACTATTACCCAACACTCTGCATAGCAGTCCATTAAGCTCAGGAGTGCAGTGGCTAGAGAAACTTTGGGATGGAGCACTTTCTTATTTAATCACAGTGGTAACTCACGAAACAGGTGAAACATGTGAAAGTGCATTAAAAGAGCTGAAAACTAACACGGAGTTTAATGAAAAAAGGTTCCACACATGTAACAGAAATATGATGGATGAAAAACAGGTAGCAAATTTGTTAGAAAAAATAAATGTCATGGTCTCTGAAAATGATCCACAAAGCTACACTGGACTGATGTGTGCTGAAGATAAAGACCAAGAAGGACACCTGGAGGACAAATCCCACAAAGAAGAAAGGAAAAACTCAACAAACGAAAGAGGTACCTGCCTGTCTGTGTTTTAGGCAAACAAACTCTTGCACTCAGCAGTGGGCTAACCTGTGAATCTTAATGAATTCGGTGACATTTATCTTTAGAATTGTCCTTGTAACCAAAATTTTATTCATTTGATAGATTTGTGCAAAAGTTGTGAGGGTTTCTGTCCAGAAAATATTAAACGCAGAGGTGTAGTGGTGTTTGTTTAAATAGTGGTTACCCATCTGCCTATGTCTACACACAAATTAGAGTTATTTGTTTCTGAGGCTGTTTCACCCCAGTGACAAATTCACATTGTTGTAGTTATGAATTAACTGAGCATAAAGTCGTCTATCAGACCATCTTCATACATACCACTTCTTTTCATTCTTTCATTTGAGATACCTGCCTCCTCTCTACGTACAGATGCGTTTGGAAGAACATAATGATTCTTCGTCAGGCTTCTCTCATGTGTCTTAACTGCCACATTGATGTCTGGGAGCTAGATGGGCTTAAATTGTAATATTACCACTCATTTTGGTATGATCATGGAGACACAAAATACATTAGCTTATTCGTGTTTTGATCAGTATTATTGCTGCTCCCCTTTTTTTCCAAGCGAGGATAGCAAATATTCAGTTTGTTTCAGCTGAAATTTGGTTGTTAGTTTAAGAGTAGGTTATTTCATGCAAGAAGGTTAATAAAGACAAAATAAGTAAAAGTAAGTAAAATTTATTTATATAGCACATTTCACAGATAAAAATCACAAAGTGCTTTACAATAAGATCAGACATACAAGTTAAAATTAATTAAAAGCCCGTTTGTATAAAAATGTCTTCAGCTGCTTTTTAAAGGAGTCAGTAGAAATAATAAGCAGTGTTGGGCAAGTTACTTTGGAAAAGTAATTAGTTATAGTTGTTACTTCTTCAAAAAAGTAATTGAGTTAGTAACAGTTGTGCAATAAACAAAGCTATATGCAGCTATTTACCTAAAAATGCATCCAAGGCCGGGATTTTTTTATAAGCATTTCAAACTGTTCACAGTAGTGATGTGTCCTGTGTGTCGAAGCTTCGAATCTGTGCGTCGGGTAATCGCGGGGGCGTTTTTCTGAAGCGCGTATCGAGGCTTGCTTTGATTACGTATGCAGTGACGTTCGAGGCCTCGCGGGC